CTCCCACTTGTGTTTGCTGCTTGTTTCATTTGCAGGTGGTTTGCAGGCAGCAGTTTTCCACTCTTTGTGTCCCTGCAGGTCTCTGGCTCCTGCTGTGCCAACAATTCTCCCTCTACAACTGCTGCAAGTGCTTAACCCGGGGCTTCCCTTTCTGTCCCATATTTCACACTCCCACAGGCTTCTCCAGAGCCACCAGTTCCCTGGGATTCTCCAGCCTCCCCACTGAAGTCATGCTGCTGCAAGAAGGGCCTCACCCAGCCTCCAAGACCTCACCCAGCAGCCCAAAGCTGCAAGCACAGGACAGAAGACCCTCTTAACTGCAACATCCCTGGATCATCTACTCTTTCAAAGGCTGGTTTCATCCCAAAAAGCTGACTTGGAGATGCTAATAGTCCCTGGCAACCACAGAAGATCCCTTGGGACCGAGCCAGGAGCTCTGACACCTCGTGCTGGGGGCTCAGCCACACTCAGCACACAAACCCTGAAGACTTTGTGCTGGCTGAGCTGTGCCAGCCCTGTCACCCACCCCGTGGGCTGGGAAGGGCAGGGAAGGACATGTCCTGGGGGATTTGCCTCCGTGGAACACGGGGAGGCAGCAAATGAAGCAGCCAGGGAAGGAGCAGGAGAGGAGCTGGGCATCTGCCTCCCAGGCACTTGCCACTGGCAGTGCCCAGCTGGGTGTTGGGCCCCGTGGGGGAAGCTGTGACTCTTCTGCTGCACCCAAAATGAGGGTGTCCTGCTGTGAGGGGCTGGCAGGGCAGCTGGAGCAGGAATCTGGCTGGAAATGGATGCTCCTTGGAGCAGAAAGCAGTCCTGTTTGAGGGGTGGTTGGCTGGGTCGGGGTGGGGTGCTGGGCACAGTCCCAGGGGCAGGAGGAGGCTGTGAGCTGCTGAGGAGGGTCCTGAGCCCCCAGTCACACTGATGGCTCCTGAAACAGGTCTCAGAGCTGGAGGATGTCTGGCAGGGTGGTGCTCAGCCAGCAGAGCCCAACATCTCCCTGTCCACCACGGAGTAAATCCATGCCAATGCTTCCCCTGCTAGCAGGAGGCTCAGGGGGGATTTGAGCAGCCTCAAAGCACCACTGTCCCATGGAAACTTGGGCCTAACAGGGTTGGGCTGTTTTGCAAGGGGCTCTCCTGGGAGCAGGTGGTTGGGAACTGCAACTACTCCCAAAAAAACCTGGAAAACCTGGGCAGCCCTGGGTGCACATCCCCGTGGGAGCATCACCGAGGGCTCCAGCAGGAGGATGGGTTTGGATGCTGGTGGCCACAATCAGCTTTTGGCTCCTTGCAGGAACCAACTCCAGCTCCTGTGTGATTCCCACAGCTCTGGTGCCTCGGGGCTCCTCGAGGAGCCTTTTTCTCCAGGGCTGGATGGAATCACTTGTGTTCTCTGAGCTTTAGTTTTCCTCCAAATTGGAAAAATAGCCCTTTGAAATTTTCATGAGGGTGGCAGGGAGCTGCCCATGAAAGCCACTTAATGTGACTGCAGTGACAAATGCCAGTGAGAGGCTCGTGCTGGGGGGAGGGTAGCGAGGGAGAGGGCACTGGAATTAAAGGATGAAATATTTATTGGGGAGTTTGGCAGCACTGGAAGGGCAACACACCACGGGCCAGAGGCACCTTGGGGCAGGCAGAGCTGGGAGCCACAAATGGGCTGTAAAATGCCACGAGATTTCCTCTCCCTCCCCACCTCCCACCCCTTCCAGGGTCGTTGCCAGCCTGGGAAGGCACAAAGGGGGTTAAACATCCAGGAATGGCCCAAAGCTGTGGACAAGCAGGCAGAAATGTGGGGTGTGAGCCAAGGTGGAGGCTGGGGAGTGATGGTCTGGCTTGGCTGTAAATCCCAGCTCTGACTGAGGGCTGGAGCCTCATCCCTGGAACTGGGAGCTCCTGGCTCTGGCAGGGGGGTTGGCACAGGGCAGCCTGGCTGGAAGGTGGGATGAAAGCTCAGCTCAGCTCCCTCCACAGGGAATCAGGCTCATGAGCTTTCCTCTGCCTCCAGTCAGGCTCTGCATGGGAGATTTTCTTCTCAGGACCCCCAAACTGTGACCCTGGGGGTGACCAGGGCTGGGGACAACCCCCATGGTGGGCTGGCTGTGTTAACCAAATAAAGAAGCTTAATAAAAATCCATCTCTGTGTGCTGGAGAGGCCCCTGGGAGTCCCCTCATCCCACTGGGATGTCCCACAGCACCACGAGGTCCCATCCCTGGGGTCCCACTCTGCTTTTCCCAGCCCTGAGAGGGGCCAGAATAACATCAAGGGTTAACCCACAACGATCTCAAGAGGCTACAACCTCGTGGAGAGCACAGGATTGGCAGGTCATTAATCTCAGAGTTACTTGATAACTTCAAATACAATCATGTAATCAGCAGGAACCTGTAATTATTATTTATGTGCATGGTGCTTACTAAATTACAGCTCTCTCCAAGGCTCTGTGTGATGAACAAATTAATTCTGCATCGGAAGAGCTTGACCAGAAATCTGTTTGTGTCTGAATTTCACTTGTAAACATTGATGTATGAAATGAAATCCGGGTTTAATTGGCCCTCCCTCCTGCTGAGAAGCACATTATGTTTTTATTCTGCGTTAGCTGAGCTGGGGAGGGGGAAAATTTGGAGGAGTTTCTGCAGCCCTGATGGTGGTACTTGTGTGGGAGACCCGTGTGGGATGGTCCTCACTTGCCTGAGGTGAGATGTTGTTGATCTCCATGCCCTGGGCCTGTGGATTTGGGGTGGAAAGGAGACAAAAAAAGCCACCAGGTGCCTCTGGAGCAGTGGGATGCTGAGCCCACTGCAGGGTGAGGATGCTCCCGTGGAAACCTGGGCAGGGCTGTCTTTTCCAAAAGATAAACGTGCCCCAAAAGTCCTTGTGAGAGGAATCCATGTAGTTTTAATCAAACAAGACCGAGAACACACACACACACTTTTCTCCAGCTATGGAAAGCAAAGTCACATCAGTCAGAGCAAACCACCCAGAGGAGAAGGGAAAACCAGGGATGTGAACACAGATGCTTCTGTTTGGGTTTCTTTCTTTGGTTTTTCGATTTCCAGCTTCTTTTCCCCCCCAGACATGGACCTTGGCTTTAGAAAAATCCAAGTTGAACACGTAGCACATCATTTTTTTTTGGCACCATCACTTGTGGGGACGATGAAAAAAAACTCCCTGGGGCATTTCCCCTTCTTCAGATCCAGCAGATCTTTATTAACCTGCCAGAGCACCCAGTAGAGAAACCAAGATAGGAGAGAAGACACAAGTCTGCTCCTTGTAGGAGCATCTGCAGAACTGGGAGGTGCCACTTTTCCCACTGCATAACTCTGGGGGGGTCTTTTTCTCGCCCATATATTGGATTAAGGGCAGTTTTGGGGACTGTTGGTGATGGATGAACTTGTACTAAGCCTAAAACCTGCCCCATATGCAGGGTGTGGCCCTCACTGGGTCATACTGGGAGCTGTTGCTTCTCCCAGTGCATCCCTGGGGGCAATGGGATATTTCTGGTTTAGCTGCACTGGGGACATGCAGGTAGGAAACCAAAGCAGGAGGGAAACGTGAGGAATTTGCTTCAGACTCCTCAACTTCTCAAACGCTTAAAGAAAGAACCCAGAGGGGTTTTTTTTCCCCTGTGCTTTCCTTTAAAGAAAACAAACAAACAAACAAAAAACACACAAAAAAAAAAGGAAATATTTTTCCTCCTTTCTGGTGGTGTATCCTGAGGAAATCACAGAGCACTGAGATTTCAAAGCTGCTTAAATCTCCCCAGGGCAGGACACACTTAGGCCTGTTCTTTATTGGGGGGAAACTGAGGCACAGAAGTGTGAAGGAGCTCCCACCACATCCTGTAGGGCCCCTGCTGGAAAAATCCCTGGGATGCAGAGAGCAGACTGGTCCCATAATGCCCTCCTGGCATCTGTCCCCCAAGCAGATCTCATATGGGGCAAGGAAAATGTGGCTCCAAGGAGGTCAAGGCAAACCCCAAAGCCCTCCACTTGCATGGGCCTCTCTGCTCAGCTGCTTTCAGTGACCACATGGAACAGGGAGTGGGATCAGGGACAATCTGGAGTCTCCAGCGTGGGAAGGGAGAGAGGCAGGGATGGAGGGAGGGATGGAGGGAGGGATGGAGGCAGGGAAGGAGGCTGCTGCTCCTCCAAGGCACTTAACCCCAGCCTGGGGATGGTTTGGTGCCATCCCCTGTGCGAGAGCAAGGAGCAGCTTTGGCACTGGGCTCACCTGGCACGGGGAGAAGCAGGGCAGGGGGAAGGGGAGCAGAGCCACAGCGTGTCCCTGTGGTAGCTGCCTTTGGGGACCTCAGCCACCCCTCCAGCACAGGGTTCCCCCAGCTCTCCGCCCCCTGAGCAAGGACAGGGGGTCAGCCTGAGGGGCAGGGGCTGGGCAGGGACCTGGGGATCCCTCTGGGCTGCACCACACCACACAGTTACCTCACTCTCGTGCCTCCCTTCAGCCCAAACCCCTCTGTGGGGCTGTTCAGAGTCCCTGGCACCATCCCTGTGCTCTGTGTGGTTCCCCACCCCTCCCATCCCCCATCCTTGGGGTCAAGGTGAGCAGTGACCTGGTCACACCAAGCAGCAGGTACAGGACATCTGAGGACCCAGCACGGGGCAGGGGAAGGGCTCCAGTTATCCCAGTGGCAGAGATGATCCCAGGACTCAACTGAGAGCCCCCTCAGGGCTCAAGTGACCCCAGTGGTACAAAAACACAGCCACACAAAGCAACGTCTGCCATCAGTCCAGGGCTCTCCATCCACCCCCTGCCAATGCAGAGGGCTTTGGCCCCTCCAGAGGGTTTTCCCACACCAGCAGCATGCCAGCATGTGCTCACTGGAAGGGCTGACCCAGCTTCCCAGGGATTAGCCCCATCAGCTGTCCCAGTAGTGTCCTGGTGTACTGTCAGCTCAAAGCTGTGTCAGCTCAAAACTCAAGCCGGGCAGCGACGAGGGGCATCATGCCCGGGCTGGAGCAGGCAGGGAGGCTGCTGCGACCTCTCCAGCTTCCTCTGGCTCCTTCTTCCATCCCACAGCAGGTCACAGCAGTGCCAGGGAGATGACCAAGCAGCCTCTCAGCTGTGCTGTCCCGCAGGTCCAGGCAGGAGCTGTGCAGGTCTCCCGTGGCTGCAGCGGGGCCGGGCAGCGCGGGCAGGACCTGCCCCTGTGCTGTGCCCCCTCGGGGCAGGGCCATCGCCTCCCTCAGCCCCTGCAGGCCGTCTCCTGGGGCTCCCCTGGCTCACACAGCCGTGGATTGCTTGATGCTGTGGAAGCTGACTCTGGTGGGGGAGGTGGGGATGGACATGGCCCGGGCCACGCGGGCGCGGATGGAGTGTTTGTCCTGCCAGCGGTGCCAGCGCTTCCGCACGGCCGAGCGCACCTGGGGGCACGGGGAGAGGGGCACTCGGTCATGTGGGAAAGAAACAATCTGTTTTTGTTATAAGCCAAAGGAATTTGGTGGGAAACAGAGGGTGGTGGGATTTGCTTAGGCGCCTCATGGAGGCCGTGAGGTGGGAAGGCCCCGTCCGGGCCTGAGGCCAGGGAAACGTCACGGTCGGGATAGGGAAAAATATAAAAATGGGAAAACATCCCCTGGCCTCATGGCTGGCCTTTGTGTGCAGAGAGACCCCCTGTACATGTACAGGGGATCATCAATCAAATCAGGAGGGAGGGTGACACCCCCTCCTGGGTTTGAAAAATTACCTTTTAATGTAAAATACCTGTCACCTGTTGAATATTTAACAGAGAGTACAAAAAGAGCATGTTTTTCAATGGGATGGTGCTTTTTCCAGGCCATGGGACTTGGGATTGCACCCAGCGCTGCAATAAAGAATTTCTTGCTGCAGTTTTCCTTGTCCTGCAGGTATTTTTTGCCTTTTCATAAATGGAAAGCAAGGGTTTTTTCCGACAGTCACCACACAGCCATCCAGAGCCAGCAGCCACCCTGAGCCCCAGGGCTTCCCACCAAAAATGCTGCTGAAACCCTGCTCAGCCTCCCCTGGGGGTCCCAGGAACCCCTGGCACCTGCCCAAGGCACCCAGCTTTCTTTGGTGCTGGTGAAATGCAGCCCTTGCACCTACCAAGGGAGATGAACCCATTAATTGTGTTAATTAACACAGCCTTAAGCTGTGCCAGGGGAGCTTTAGGTTGAACATCAGGAAGGAATTCTTTCCAGAGAGAGTGATCAGGCATTGGAATGGGCTGCCCAGGGAGGTGGTGGAGTCACCATCCCTGGAGGTGTTTAAGAAGAGACTGGATGTGGCATCAGTGCCATGGGCTGAGTCATTGTCACATGGGTGACAAGGTTGGACTCAATAATCTCAGGGGTCTTTTCCAACCTGGTCGATCCTGTGATTCTCTAACATTAAACTATTAAGAGAGATGGTGCCTCTGAGCTTAAAATGGAAACAAAAGGGAGAAATAAATCTGAGCCAGGGGCTCTGTGGGAGAGGCAGCAGCTCACACCTGCATCGGGTGCTGTGAGGGGCTGGCAGAGCTACAGGAGCAGTCAGGGAGGTTTAATGGCTTGTCTGCTTCGTGCCAGTGGCATTCCTTGGACATTAATGCCACCCTCCAGCAGCCCAAGTGCTTTGTGTGGCAGGTAAATGGTGAAGAAAGGCCTGGGATGGCCCTGGGAAATGGGGGCTGAGGCTGAGGTTGGGTGAGCACCAAAGTCCCTAGAGGTGAAGGACCATGGTGTGATGTGTTCCTGGGTCACCAGCCAGCCCTGCTCCAGTCCCTTTTCCTCCTGCATCAATTAGATGTGATTTGGTACCAAAACAAGCTCATCTGGGGCAAACTCTCCTGAGCCAGCAAAGGTGCAGGAGGGTTTGGAGGACACAGAGGAAAGAGGTGCCCAAATAACTGGCTGCAGGATCAGCCTCTGCTCTCAGCTTCTTTGCTTTCTGCTGCCTGTGTTTTGGGGCAGAGCCCAGGAGGTGCCCTCACCCAGGAGCTGGGTACCCACCTGTGTTTATGGGGTCACCCTGGGGATGGGAGCCCAGGACTGGCAAAGCTGAGCTGTTTTCCAGTGCAATCCCCAAGGGACTGGGCTGGTTTGAGCACTGAGCACCTGCTGTGGTTCCTCCAGCCAGAAAAGGGCAGTGGAGAGCAGAGGCCTGACCTCGAGCTGGCGTGAAGTGATTGGGAAGGATTCCCCAGGGATGGGGGGACCCTTGGCTCTGCTGCACCAAATCCCACAGGGGCACCCTGAGAGCATCTGTTCTGGGGGGGTGGATTTTCCTCCTCCAAAGGCAGGGGCTGACAGCTGCCATTCCCATCTGTGGCTGCAGATGTGCCTGGGGCTGGAGGTGAGGCACTGACTCTGCTCACCTTCAGCTGGGGAATTGGGGACCAGCACCCTCCAAACCCTGGGCAGGGGCAGAGCCTCAGGCTGAGCTCGTGTCTGCAGACCCCCCAAGCACCCCCCAGCCCCCAGTGCTCACCTCACTGTTCAGGAAGCAGTAGAAGACAGAGACAAAGAAGCCCTGGAAGGAGACAAACAGCAGAGTCACCTCCAGCAGGCACCCCAGGACTGGGAGCTTTGGAGCAGCCCTGGGGTCTGGGGGTCTCTGTTTTTGGGAGGGGGCAGAAGCTGGGGGAGGCATCAGCCCCATCCCTTGGTGGGGGAGCTGGGATGAAAGCCAGTGCTGAGGACCATACCTGGAAGGACTCCAGGAAGGAGTTGAAGTAGATGAAGACTATCCTGGAGATCTCATCCTCCCCCGGGTTGACGAAGAACAGCATGTAGGTGATCCCCAGCAAGGGCAGCAGCACCAGCGTGGCCTTGACTGCTTTCCTGGGGAGAAAACATGGACCTGAGCTGCTGCAGGGCAGCCCTGGGCACGAGGACTCTGCCCATCCCACTCCCAGCACCAGCATGGCTGGGACTGGCCTGCCTGGGACTGGTCTGACTGGGAGGAGGAGGACAGAGCAAAGCTGAGCTGTTTTCCAGTGCAATTCCCAAGGGACTGGGCTGCTTGGAGCACTGGGACTTGCTGTGCTTCTCCATCCAGAAAAAGGGCAGTGGAGAGCAGGGGCCTGACCTTGAGCTGGCGTGAAATGATTGCTTGGCTGATCCAGGGCTCGATTAAAAAGGAATTAAGGAGGGCATAATAATTCATGCCCTTCAACGTGGGTTTATGAAAACCTCATCTCAGGTAATTAATTTGGTATCTTGCCTTGATGAGATTACAAGTGTGGTTTGTGAAAAGCCAAAGTGCTGATGCAGGGAGTGTGGGAAGGCCCAGGGCTTGGCATTCCTGTGGATCAGGGGACAAGAACAATGCCAAGCCATCGCTTTTTGCTTCAAGATCCTGTTCATGGACAGATTCCAACAGTAGCTGAGCATGGGAAAGTCATCCCTGGTTAGTCTGGGCTGGGTCTGTGTTACATCCCAGACCTGGAGCAGAGCACAGCCCCTGACACAAATGGGCTGATGACATGGAGGAGCTGGAGGAGACTGAGGACAGGAGCATCTTCAGGCTGGAAAACAATGGGAAAACATGTTCTTCTCATGGGAGCAGCCATGGCAGCGTGAAATCCATTCAGTTTTTTACCAAAAGCCATCATCTAAGGTGAGCAGGAGCCCCCTCCAGGGCTGTCCCTTGCTGGTTTAAGCAGGACTGCACAGTTTAGAACCTACCAAATTCTCCAGGTTTTCTTGTCCCTTGAAATATTTCTGGGAAATGAACACGTTCTCCTGTCCAGAGGTGAAAAACCTTCCCTGCCAAAATCAGGCAAATACCAGAAAACCAAAAGTCTCTCAAAATTGCTGGCTGAGGCCCACCAGCCTTTTTCAAGAACCTTTCTCTTTGCTCAGCCCCAGCTGAACCATCCATCCCAGCTCAACACTCCATGAGGAGGAAAGCTGCTATTTCCTCATAACCCAACCAAAATGTTTCCATTCTCGGCTGAAAAAGCCCCCCCTCCACCCCAAACCTGCTTCTCTTGACCCAGCACTCGCTGAGATCCCCCAGTCCCTACCCACAAAATGCTCCAGAGAGAAGCACTGATGAAGAGTCTTCTGATGAAGAGACACTGAGACACTTCTGATGAAGTGTCTTCTCCTGCTCCAGGTACTTTGGAGAGCTGCTCTGACCACACACCTCCCAAGCTGCCTGCAAAACATTCCCCAGCAGGGAAGGAAGGGTTAAAATCCTCCTGCCTTGTGCTGTGGGAGTGCTGCCTTCTTCTTCACAAGGAGGTGTTGGGGTGGCATCGATTCCTCCCTCCTTCCTCAGCCTCTGCTCTGCTGTCAAGCAGCGATTTAATTCTCACCTCCGTGCCAGGATTTGCAGCTCCGAGCCTGGAGAGCTCATCAGGTCCCACCAGGACAGGCTTTTTTTTTTTTTTGCAAAGAGACTCAAATCCCAAGGGCTCCCTTCCAAGGCAGATCCAGCCATCCATATTCTCCAGCAGCAGGCTCTCACTGATTTAATGCCTCCAAAGAGCATTTGAGGTGCTCTTGGGTGTCTGTCCGTGCTCCCATCACCTCAATGCCCGGCTGCTGGGGCTGTTCCCATCTCCCCTGATCCTGGGGGAAGCCAGGTCTTGCTGCAGGGTTGCTCAAGCCCTTTCTTACCTGTACTGGATGGTCTCTGAGGTGGTGGAAGCTCGGAGCTTCGTCATGAGGATTCGGACGATGTTGAACAGAAAGATGAAGTTGATCTGGAAGGAGGAGGGTCACTGCTTAGTGTCTGCTGCCCCAACATTCCCTCCCATTCCCTCAGCTGTGCCAGGGGAAATGGGAATGTTTCCTCCTGCACCTGATCTACTGCCTTCCCTGTCCTGTCCCAGGCATGTGCATTTGTTGTTTTTAAAGCATTTCAGCAACAAGATTTAGGAGTTTGCTCAAGGGATCAGGGCAGCAGGGCACGCCAGGAGACTGGTGAGGCAGGACAAGTGTCAGAGGAAGGGCTGAAGGTGAAAAAGTTGGAGGGAGAGGAGGAATACAAGGCTGGGAGTTGCTGCCACCACAGCCAGCAGCTGCTTGGCCTCTCTCCCTCTGCAGAATCACTAATGAGGGCACGGGAAGGTGGCCCTGGAGCTGAGCACAAATGACATTTATTAGCAGTGGCCGGGCTACCTGACAGGCTGGGAAGTGGGAAGCAGGATCAATTGTTCCAGGAGGCTGGTGATCAGTCCTCCCTTGGGTGGTTTCAGCACTGGGCAAGCAGGGAGGGATGGTTTTGGGACCTTGTGCATGGCTCTCCCCCTGCAAACACAGGTTGGACCCCCAGGTTGTGACCTGCCACCTCTGCTCTCCTTTGTCCCTTCCCAAAAGGACAAAGTCCCAGCAAACTGTGCTCCCTGTGACCCCTGGGTCAAGCATCACTGCTCAGCCAGGAGCAAAGAGGATCTGGGAATGGAGATGAGGTTCCCAGGCTTCTGCAAGTGCAGAGCACCCCCCTGCACCCAACCAGTGCCAGGGCAGGGATGGAGGGGCTTACTGGTACACATGGGAGTCTGCTGATGGGACATCCCTGTCAGAGTGAGGTCTCCAGGCACATTTGCAGCCCATCCCAAGCCCAGATTTTCTCAGGGGGCAGTTTGGGTGAGGGCAGTGCTGCTGTGGGGCAGCAGAACCAGTCACAGCAGAGTGAAGCTAAAGGAGGGGGCCAAGCCCTGGCCAGGAGCAGCTGCATCCCACCTGCAGCTGGAAGGACACTGTTTAGCCGAGGAGGTCACTTTGCTCTTACCAGCAGCACCAGGATCATGGGGCCTTGGTAAATGTAGTCAGTGTAGACCCCTGCTCGCTTCCCAAACCAGCACCTGCAAGGCAAGGACAAAGATAAGCAGTGCTGGGGACAAGCCTGCCATGGGGATGACCTGGAACCCAGGAAAAGGAGGTGCCCAGGGCTTGTGGGGCTGGTAACGGGCCCCATATGGATGTGGGAACTGGTTATTGTAGGATAAGCAGGGACTGACCCATTCATGAAGGAGGGGATTGTCCCTCTCTGCTCTGGTGGGGCCTCACCTGGAGTCCCAGGGGCAATTCTGGGCATCACAATATAAGGAAGGTCTAAAGCTCCTAAAGTAGGGACAGGAAGATGGGGAAGGGTCTGGAGGGGTCACAGGAGGAGCAGCTGAGGGAACTTGGTGTGTTCAGCTGGAGAGGAGCAGACTGAGGTCAGACCTCACCAGGGGCTGCAGCTCCTCCCCAGGGGCAGCTCCAGCTCTGGGTGAGCAGGGACAGGAGCAGGGAAGGGCTGGAGCTGTGCCAGGGCAGGGTCAGGTTGGATCTCAGGGAAAGGTTCTTCCCCCAGAAGGTGGTTGGCACTGCCCAGGCTCCCCAGGGCAGTGGGCACAGCCCCAAGGCTGCCAGAGCTCCAGGAGGGTTTGGACAATGCTCTGAGGGACAGGGTGGGATTGTTGGGGTGTCTGTGCAGGGCCAGGGGTTGGATGGATGATCCTTGGGGGTTCCTCCCAACTCAGGATATTCTGTGACCTTGCCCAGGTGTGGGTTGGTTCTGCTCCCAGCAAACCCTCCGGGGTCCCTGTCCTGGGAACACCTTGCTGGGGTTGTTAAATCAGTGCTGTGTGAGTAGCACAGGGCTGCTGAAACTGGGGAGCAGAAAACCAGCTGTGGAAAACAGGACAGGCTGCCTTTCATCTCAACAGGCTCCTTTTAACTCCCCAGTCCAAGGTATGAACTCTCAGGTGCCTGCTAAGACCTTCCTTTGCAGGTGCCTGTGAAAATGGCCCGGGGGGGATAGTTCAGATCTCTGCTGGTTCAATCCCAGCTGCATTTGGCAAACCCATTGTAGGAGCTGTGGCTTAATCTTGCCTTTTTTTTCCCCCCTTAAAACGATCTCACTTGCCTTTTGAGAAGAAACAAGCAGGGACAGGGCTGCAGAGAGACCAAAGGCAGGATAAAAGAAAGAATGGAAGAATAACATCCTTTTTTTCCTCCCTGCCAGAGCCCCTGGCACAAGTGGTCTCTGGGGATTTGGGATAGAGAACGGAATGGGGAACAAAAGCAATCAGGCTTACTTCTCATTGTCGTAGTAGAGCTTCCCAATGGCCCAGGCCACGATGATGGGGAAGGGGATACCTGCAAGGGAACACTCAGGTGAGTCTCAGGGGGTGTCAGGGTTGACAGCAAGCCTGTCAGCAGTCTGGCATTTATCAATGAAGCAGTGGACACAAACAGGATTACAGCACACCCCTGAAAGGAGGAGAACACAGCATGCAGAGGAATGTGGGCAACTTTCAGGCAGGAAGAAGATGGAAGGCAGAAATGGACTTCCTGTGCTTTTTACAAGTCAGGATGACTCGACAAAAACTGTGTTTGTTAGTTTGCAACCAACCCTGGTGTGGGTATACATGAAAGTACCAAGGTCAGGTTGACATGTGGATGGCCTGATGGCCTGATCTATGTGTACCAATAGCAGGGTGACATGTATGTGACCTGATCTATGTGTACCAATAGTAGGGTGACATGTATGTGACCTGATCTGTGTGTACCAACAGGAGGGTGACATGTATGTGACCTGATCTGTGTGTACCAATAGTAGGGTGACATGTGTGTGACCTGATCTGTGTGTACCAACAGCAGGGTGACATGTATGTGACCTGATCTATGTGTACCAATAACAGGGTGACATGTGTGTGACCTGATCTGTGAAGGCACCGATAAAAAGCTGACATGTGTGATATGTGAAAAGTATAAATGTTTGCAACCTGTTGCAATAAAGTGATTACAGCCTTCTTGTAAACCTGTCCCTGCTTTGGAAGAAGATTCTGTGTCACACTGGCCATCCCCGACTTTAATAGCAACAGGGGGGCAACACCACAAAATCCCGCTGCAACAGGGGCTCCCTCACACACATCTGCCAGTGCAAATCCCACCCTCCTGCTCCTAGTGGGTATTTGGGTGCCAGACCAGGAGCAGGGGGTGCAGGGGGCAGCCTGGGACTCACACCAGCCGATGCAGATGAACATCCACTTGCGCAGCTTGTCGGTGGAGTAGGTGAGCACGATGGCCGTGTGCAGGTAACAGCCCTCCCCAAACATCCAGAAGAAGTTGGTGACGTGGAAGTAGTTGTAGGCAGCAGTGACCAGGCGGCACCAGACCTGCCAGGAGGAGATGTGGAGCCTCCAGAGCTCTGGGTTGCAGTGGGGAAACCAATGCCACCAGCAGAGCAGCTGAAGGTGTGATTCTCACGCGCCTGGGTTG